AGCCTCTGCCATCCTATCTTCACTGCTGATGTTTCCAATTCTAGGTAGATTTGGGTAGTGCAGGTGTGGTATAATCGCATGCTCATTTTCCTGTGCAAATAGATAACCTTTATGATTTTCGTATACATTTTGCTTGGTTTACAAGCAAAACAAGGTGAGGTTTTTTGTCTTATTTTACTTGCTGGTCCTATACACTCAGCCTGAGAGTTCAACAGGAGGCTATTCTTTTGCACATTTTCCAAAGTAGTAAGGCTCTACAGACTAACTTGTATCTTCAGTAAATTTTGTACAAGCTCATTCAGTACCATATTTTCTCGCATATAGCATGCCCCCAAATAAAATACAAACTTTGTTTTGGGAGGTAAAATGTAGGTAATTTCCCCCTTCCCCCCCAGTTATTTCTAACTGTGTGATAGACAAAGGCTTCTTTGGAACATAGGGCATCTATACACGTGCTCGGGGATAAAGGAGGAGGGAGCTTTAATTAGAGCAGCTCCAAGAGCTGCTTTAATTAAAGTAACTGCAGTGTCATGTATTCAGTGCTCCAAGCTTCAAAATGATGGCTGCAGCACGTTAAATAAGCTTGTTTGACGAGCTTTAGTTAAAGTGCCCCTGTGACCATTTTGAAGTATGGGGACACTGAATAGATGTGATGTGGAGGCTACTGGAGTGTGCTGATTAGCACACTTCATGCTAATTAGAATGCATCAGAGCAGACATCCTGCATATGCATAGGTGCCCATTGTGTTCAGGAAGTGTGGTACAGTAGGACATGGTCTGGGGTGAGGCAACTAGCACTAGGAGTTGCCTTTCCTCAGACCTCCTGGGATGCCACGCTTCCTGGATAGTCTTTGTTCCCAGAAGAAGTTACTCTGTCATATAAGGTTAGGCCCCAGACACTTGCAAGGCTGTTACTGCCCTTCATTTACAGGAACTTGTATAAAGAACTACATGCAATAAAGGAACTAACAGTCTTGCAAGGGCAAGTTCCTGTAAGTAAAGTGTTGTTGCCACTTCACAAGCCTCAACAAGATACTACGAGCAGCTTGCTTGCTGTTTCAGGCACAAGATAGTGCTCAACCAATTTCTACAGGTTTGAGAAGGTTAACACAGGACTCCTGCCCCTTTGGCTTGTTGAGCAACAAGACATGAATGTCCCGCATCTTGGTAGCTGCATGGCCTACACAATGTCTCCAGGTGTGCTTCTTTTCCAGCAAGGAAAACAGCTTCCTGGCTTAACATGCATACCCCAATTTTGGGGGAAAATCTACATGTCACATGCAAGAAGACATGGTATTCAGTTTCTTGGGTTGTTATAGGCTAGTATTCAGCAAATTGCAAAGACCCCAGAGACTGCAGAGTTTGTCAGTTCCAACAGAGCAAGATTGCTATTGCTAGGTGCAACATTTTCAGCATTTAGTTGCCAAAATGCTAAGCCCTTTTTGATTGCTGAAATTAGAAAAAAGCTCTGCAAAGGTTATCAGCAGGGATCCAGGTTTTCCATTTGCCATGAAAAACCATGGATTTTCTCTTTTTAAGGAGAAAAACATGGGGAATGGCAGGTTTCCTCTTGCAGGCTGGCAGAGTTCCAGCCTGCAAGGGGCTGCTGAGGGGAGTGGGAGGAAGGCAATCAGGCAGGGGTGCCATGTGCAGGTGTGGACACATGCGTATGGCAGCCAGACAGCATGGAGAGCAGCTCCCGCAGCTCCCTCCAGGTAAGTTGAGGGGCGGGGGGTGAGAGAGACTACAGGGAGTAGATTGAGGCCCCCGCAGGGAGGGATTGGGGCATGGCTGGGCCAGAGGGCACTGCCCAGTTGGGGTGATGCATGGGGCCTGGGGTGGGAATGCACAGTCCTAGGGCCTGGCCAGGGCGTGGGATAGAGCCGTGGGGGGCGGCAGGGGAAATGGCTCCCTGCTACTGTGTGCAGTCCCAGGGGAGGGGCACTGGAAGGGCCAGGGGGCTGTGGGTCAGAGTGAAGGACATTGGCAGAGTTGGGGGAGCTGGGACTTGGGAGTGAGTGGTAGTGGCATGGGCAGGGGCAGGGCACCAGCATATCAGGACGGCTCGGTGCCATAAAGCAGGGTGGGGGACAGCTGCAGCTGGACCCATGTCTTGGTGAATGAAGGAGGCAGAATATATAGGTATTTAGAATTTGTTTTATTATAATGACCGAGGCACTGGTAAGCTTCCAACTTGCTTTAAAAGTTGTAAATATATCAATAAAATATTGTATTCAGCTGATACATATAATATAGTGGTATTTCATTTTAATCATGGAAAAATGTGGATTTTTTTTTTTTAATTAGAAGTTGAGATTTTTATAGGAGATTTTGCAATTTTTAAACAGGGAAAACCAGGATCCCTGTTAATAAGGAAGGAGAGTGTAACCTGCTTCTGCACCTATCTGAAGTCTCCAGAACAGTAGTTCTCAACTTGAGCCAGCCCTCAGTAGATGTCAGGCACCCCTTGGAAAATGCCAGCTCCTAGTTTTCACTCATTTCTTGACTGTAGAAAAATAATAGAGCAATTCTGATGGTGCAAAGAACTCAGAAAGACCATAACAGGTTAACAGTAGTGTAGTCACCAGTAGTTTGATTGTAGTTGCAATCTGAAAAGTGATAGGACCTGCTTGTTTGTTGTTTCAGGCTTGAACAAATATTTAGATTGGATTCACATGAGAAACATACTGCACAGGGACTACAAACTTTCAAATGAAATGTTGGATTTAGACCCTGATTTAGAAATAAACAGCTGATTCTGCAATAAACTCTGTTTATGAAACTGAAGAGGATGCAGGATTGCATATTTGAGCAATCTGTGCAAATGTGTGAACAGCTGGAAGCAAATTCCTCTTTAAAGTGGAGCCTGTCCTAAAATACGAAGGTGAAAGTGGTGTTTTGTAGAGGATCTGTACTCACTGTTTCTTACTAGCTTTTATATTTATTTATTTATTTATTTCCCCTGCCCACAAGTAAAATGATGTTTCTTTCTGTCTTAGGAATTATTACTGGTAATAGGGTTTCTGCAGACCATATTAGGCCCTAACTGCCTGACATTCATTGTTACTAAGGTGTCAGGAAAGGATTCATGTTAAGCCTTAGTTAAGATTTTGGGGTTTTCTGTTTTTTTTTAAATCTAAGTCACCAGCCCTCATAGTCTCAGAGAATAGAAGAAAATGAGTATCTTAAAAGCCAAAAAGCAAATATAAAGGAAAGCTGTTTATATTTGTGTCTTACAACTTTTATGCTAATGTCATGATCCTGGGCACCTGACCCAGGACTGATTGTTTGTTTGCTTTGTTTTTGGTGTTGGAGGTTCACAGTTTTGCATCCTTCCTATGCCTTCTCTACTGACACCAGCTGAAATTACATCTTCTTGCCACTTGAGGTCAGCAGTTGCTGAGGAAAAGCTGTCAAGTGAACAAGCACTGTCTTGCATTAGAAACTGTCCATTTACTTAAGGATGTTATGTTCTTCACACCCATCCATATGCTAGCTTTGTGTCTCTGCAAAAGCAGAGGACTTCCTTTGGATGGAGCCCAACTTCAGCAAATACCCTTTTTTCAGAGTTGATACAGAGCCACGTGTTACAGAGGTCTAGGTCAGGGGTTGTCAACCGGGGGTACGTGTAGCCCTGGGGGTACTTGAAGGCCCTAGTGGGTACGTGTGGGCAGATGAGGATGGAGTGCCACCATGCACCATCCCATGCTGCTGCGTAGGTGGTGCCTGCCTGGCCAGATGCAGGGGCTGGGGGAAGCTCGAATGCAGCGCCTGCCGCTGCTCCACATTCAGACACTTCACCCCCCCGCCCCGAGCAGCTCTGTGTCTGGCTGCTGGGGGTACACTGATCCCAGAAGGTTGAAAACCCCTGGTCTAGGTGTCTTGACTGGTTTCACAGAGTGATACCAGTATTCGTATTAGTAGAGAATAATGTTCTTTTATGATTCAATGGTTATAACTAAAGTTTAAAAGGACAAAACTTAGAATGAATATAAAATCAGTGCCCCAGAATGATACTTAAGTTTTTTCTGTTATGGGAAGTAGTGTTGCTATGTCAACAAGTGGTAGAATTTCTTCTCTCAAGTAGTAATGAACCAGTGCTCCACCTTCAATGCAAGTAGGATGCTCTGTTTCTGAAACTGCTGTGTTTTCGCTGAGCAGTAAAACAGATGCTGTAGCCTTACTGCAGGTGTATTTCAGTTTGGGGTGATTGAGGCTTAGTGTCCCCATTGTAAAATAAGAGTGATACTAACTTCTGTAAAGTACTTTGAGATCTCTGAATAAAAGTACTCTATAAAAGATAATAGCATCAAAAGTTTCCTGGTGCACTTGTTAACATGGGCATCATGGCAGAGCGTTTACTTTCTCTTTTCCTTTAAATCTGGCCAATGGTTTAATTTGGATGAATCATCCTTCACTCCCTGTCCTAAACATTTGTGTAGCGTTGCTGGTAAATGTACACTGCATTCTAAAAATGACTGCATTTCAGTAGTTTGGGAAATTATCCCAATGCATGATTGACACCTAATGATATTCTTGTAGAACCTTTTGTCCAAAGATCCCATGCACTAGACAAATTTAACAAATGATATCTGCAGACTTCGATTTGCTGATTGCTAAAATGCAGCAGGGAAAAATGTAGGCTAAATATTAGGAAATGCTTTATAGCTATAAGAACAGTTAAGTCAAAGGAACAAACTGCCAAATGAAGTTGTGTAATTGCCATCACTAGAGCTTTCTCCGGAGTATGAGTATGCATCCATCTATCAGAAATGGCTTAAAGATAATGCAGTCTGTCTTGCCACAGTGTGGAGAGGCTAGGCTGAATGACTCACTGTAAGTATATTCCATCCAAAATAATTCCTTTAAATGCTTTTGTACCTTACCGAAACTGGAGCTATAGCTGCAGAAAGGGTGTCAGCAAAGCCGAATAAAAAAACATTCCTTTTCTTTCAGACACCCCAAACCTAAATATAATAAGGAACAGGTAATAGAGAGAGTAGAGCCCAGATTGATGTGACCTTTATTATTTTAACAGTGTCTTTCAGCTCAGTTACAGTGTTGCAGGGTTGCAGAGAACAGAATTGGAGTATAAAATAATATAAATAAATAGAACAGGAGCCAAGGCTGTCAGCAGGAGGTGGTTGGAATCAGGCAATGAAGGAGGATGGAGGGTTCAGATTGGTCAAAGCCTTTATGATTCAGCCACAAGAGATGTGAATTCTGGAAAAGAAAAAATGTCTTTTTTTAACCATCAAAGAAGGAAAATGTAAATGAGAAGCAAGCTGTATACAGGGGTTCGTAGAGTTACTGACAGGACCTTCATTATCTGCTTTTCGCAATACCTGAATGGCTGGGAGACTTACGTTCATTAGAGTGGAAAATGTCACAGTGAAGTGGAAAACACATTTGAGAAGCCAAGGAATGAGTCTAGGATATGTTGGGTCACCCAAGTGTCCACTTCACTGTGCTTGATTAGCTGCATGATACTCCTTGGTTACACAGCCACTTTTCTTTGTGAACCCAACATGTAGCAAATCAAGAGAAGAGGGCAAACATTGGAAATGAATTTTGTAGTGAGATTGATATCAACAGTTGGCAGGGGATCTAATAAGCTTTTCCTAGCATTTTTGCCCCAATAAGTATATAGAACATTCTCAATTTTAAAAAAATTACAAAAACACATATTTTAAAAATACAGGATTGACACTTCATTTGCTTTCCAAACACTTGATAAATTCTTGTCCACATTGCCATCAGTGGCAAAACTCCTGCTGACTTCACTAGAGAGAGGATTTTACCCTCTGGTTGTTAGTGTACGTGTAACAACTATAAAGTTATAAAAATCCGTGGATTTCATTTCCTTGTGGTTGTGTTAAAAAGTAAATCTTTCAGACAATCTAAATATATAAAGCGTATGGGAAAGGTATGCTTGCAGGTCCGTGAGTAGTTCCTCACCACATTGAGCTTTGAATACTGGATTACCCTGGGAGGTCCTATTTCCTCACTCCATACAGCCTTAAAATGCTCGTGCTGGAAAGTACCATTTACCATTGTGAGCACCAGAGGGCATTAACTGGAGGAAATCCAAAAACCAGGCAGCGGAGATGATAAAAGGATTTGAAGGCATACAAAGAGAAAGATTTAGGGGCTTTAAAAGAAAAAGGATGACAAGTGGGGGAGGCAACCATCTGACTTGAGAGGAAATGATTGAAGGGTGGCGTAACAGAAAGAAATGGCCTGACACTTTAAGAATATAGAAAACAAAGTCAGATGCTGGGAAGCAATGTCTAACAGTGAGGCCCATAATGTGGCGGCATACCTGCCATCTATGCTGTGGAGGCCCCACTTGGTAGAACAGTTTGAGAATAGCTTGGATAAGCCTTAACAGGCCATACTGGAAAGCAGAGCTGCTGAAAGAGCTTAAATTAAATCCACACTTGTCAGCGAGTCATTTTGAAAGACCTAACTCCAAACGAGGAATCAGGGATGCAGAACATGCAACATGAAACAGGTGTACCTTTCAGGCACAGCAGATATTTAGAGTGAAACAATACGATTGATAAGTCAAGTGCAGCACAAGCTGGTTTAAGAATGAATAACAACCCAGAATATTCAGAGCAGAAAGAAGTTGTCTGTACAAGCCACCATGTGAAGGAACTGCAGAGAGAAACATAACCTCCATGTGGGTGAAACCTTTCATGTCTTCATGAGACAGAAACAACCTATTTTAACATCAGCTAGCACATTAGCTATATTGGCAACAATAGATTTTTTTTAAAACATATTTTCAGTTTCTTTTGAAATACAGTTTGGCCTCACACCAAAGAGATTGTGCTGCACTGCTTAGCAGTAGTATATGCTAAAATTTTAATCTTAACTCCCTTTCTGTACTTGCTTGTACTGCTGCTGAATTTCTTTTTAGTGGGACTGTCCCTTTTTACTGACAGCATTTGCTTTTCAGTTTTCTTCTCCCTTTCAAAATTTGGGTGATGAAACTGAGTGAAACCTTGCAGAAATGCTGATTGTCAAATGATGGTAATTTAACCTCATTTTCTAGCCAACTGTATATCAACATGCAAATTTAAAATGAATGTGTCAGCTCAACACATGATCTGTGATATGTTATTGAAAAAGCTAAATACAATAACTGAGAACATGTTATACAGGCTAATGACTGCTCTCTTAATTCAACCTTCCTATGGTGCCTATGCACATAATGTTTTGTGGTAATTTATTTAAGGTAATACAAGAGTGCAAAGGAAAAAAACTCCTAAGAGTATTTGTCACATCCCTTCTGATTTTTGAAAATAGTAGAAATGCCAACACCTTAATCATTGGTTTTGAATTCTTATCTTTTCTTCCTATCTCAATTTTTAAGAAAAGTATGTGTACAATTAAAAATATTCACAGAACTTCAGTGTGTTGAATGGAGCTATAGAAATCAAGGTTGTCATCTATTGAGACAAACATTTGGACCATTGTTCAAACTTTTTTCTTTTAATATCTTCCACTTGTTTTCATAGGCCTATCAATATCCACAAAAGCTTTAAAATGTTCTTGGTCTCTCAATCTTTCTGTTGTATTTTTTCTTACAAACCTCCTAAAATTATGTTGCAGCACTTCCTTATTGATCTGGAGGTTGACCACCCTTAGGAAATATGTTCTCAGTTCTGCAAGTTGATCAGACTCTCAACTTTTACTGATGCCATTGGAAAATGAATGCACTCAGTGCCTCCCTGGGAGATGGTCTACCCCTTGTAGGAAAAAGCCCTATATTTTCAGCAGTTCTAGATTGGCAGGGCACCCATAAAACACAAATTGGGATCCATTCACCAGTAAGTATATATAGGTTAGTAAAATTAAGTTCTGAGCTGAATTCTGTTGTGCCAAAAGAAAAGGCTTTAAGTAATAGACCAGAGAGAGAACTCCTAGTGTCAGACTTGTAAGTGGAGGAGATCCCATAGAGAAAATGAGTGTAAAGTCTACAGTGAAATAACTGAGAAACAGTTTGATATTATAATAGGTCCATCTTAAAAGGGCACAGAATCCACATCCTTCACTTCTAGACTATCATGGGCTGCTGAGAGCTGCACTAAGAAGGATCAATCTAAATGATTGCCAAAATGAGCTGCAAAAGACTGGATTTCAGCAGTCATCCAGGGATTGATGAGACTCGTGTTAAAAGGATGGACCAAGGTTGAGTGAGGTCAATCTGAGTGTGTGGGTTTGTCATAAATAACGTAGCTTTAAAATTCAAAAAAGATCCAAATAACTTAAAGAAATATCCATGTGAGTTTTGGCTTTTGTTCCCATCTGTATTGCTTGGACCTGGACATATTGAGAAACAGTCAGATTCACGTAAAACGTTTTGTCATGTTATTTTCCTCTCATTTGTTCTGGTCAGAGTGCCAACACGCACCTTTCTGTATGCTCCAAGCCATGCTTCAGAACTCTAAAAGTTGCTTTTTGGGGACATTGCCGGAAAAGAGCAGGGGTGGGGTCTGAGGAAAATAAAGACCTTGAGTCATGTCTTACACTAGTGGAAATTCAGATCAATACTACTGAAGTCATACAGGTGATGGAAGAAGAGTCCTGGTGAGCAAATACTCCTGATCATTCTTTTACAATATGTCTGCACCCAGGCATCGTTTTGCCTTAATGTTGGTTGCAGTATTAATTTGAAAGGAATAAGCGTTATTTGTTTAAATAGGACTAAATAACTCTGAAACATCTTTATAAATATAAACACATTTTCTTTAACTCTACAGATTGGCTAAATTGGAATTGGATGCCTCCAGTACAACTCCTGCGTGTAAACCACAAGCAATCAGCTGTGAGCTTCTTTGATAATAACCAAGTTAGTTATTTACTGCAAATCCTATTCCCAAGAGATCTATGGGACTCTTGCCTCCGATTTTTGTTGTTGTTGGAGTGCAGAGGACTAATAAATAATAATGCATGAAATTATTTGAGTGTCTCATAGAATCCTTGGTATAGTAATGCTGATAAAAGTTCAGCTACTCTCACTGAAGCATAGTTATGGCTTGTTTGCCATTGTTACCTAATGAGGGCCTGAGGATTTAAGAAGCTTTAAACCTAGAACTAGGATCATAGTTATTGATCTACCAGTGTGCCATGGTTGGGCAGTTTACCTAATTTGTCAGCTGAAGAGTCTCTCAGTAGATAATTTTGTTTTCCTTCCCTTCAATTTCCACCCTATTAACTGGGAGATAACGTTGGATAACCTCACTTCCTCTTGTCTTCTCCCAACAGCATTTAAAGATACCTTCATGAATCCCAGAATACCTCAAATGAAGATTTTTTTATCTGAAGGGAGGAAAAAAGTGAGCTGTTTCTAGGTTTCAACCTGTCACACAGGCAGATAGGGTGATGGGAGGCTACAGAATGATTTCCCATTGTCTATTGGTATAATCTTCCTGCACCATTTCTTTTAGTGGAGGAAAGGGTTCATTCAGAACTCTTGATGTCATTGTCTCTACCAATAAATCAAGTAAGGTGGAGGAGAGAAAAGAGGGAACGGAAGAAACATTGTATAGGTATTAACTTGACAAGAATTTTCCAAGAAGACAATGGGACCAACTTTCAAATGTCAGGTAATGCTGTGGACAAACACTTGCTCCTTTCTTGTAATAGTGATGGTTAATGAGACTGAGTGACTCTTTTCGTAGCTTCCTTGTGAAGATTACTGGTGGCACCCATGTTGAAACTCACTGCCCTGAAGGCTACATGGTGGACTTTGAGAGCTTGACAAAGCACATTCAGATAATTAGTCTATTTTTTTTTCATCCAAGTGAAACAGCATTTTTTTCTAATTAAGGAGAAATACCGGTACTCTGCCTCCGCATGTGTACTCTCTCTCTCTTGCTTGTTCTGAGCACTGTGTTCAAGATCAACCTAGGTAAACTCTTAGGATTTGGCCAACTGAAACCAGTGTAAAGAATTCCACTAGCTTCACTGGGGGGTCAAGTCAAGCTCTTAGTCCTGAGCTCTGGTGAGCCTGATCCGCTTTTATCTTGTAATAAATCTTGGCTTTCGGTAAACTCCTGCTCCCTCTAGTGTTGGCACTCTGCTGCTGTACCCTCTAAATCCTGCAGGAGGGCATCACAAATTTAGCAAGCCCTGCAATTTGATTAAATCCAAATTGCACCCTCCACAAGGTCACAGCCCACAGTGAGGTCTGTGGTGGTTGCACCTCCATACATCAGAGCAACATGTGAGTTTTAGTACCAAGACTTATTCCCCAATTTACATACCATCAACACCAATTTTGCCATCTCCATCCTTGTCTCCAGCAGCCAGGAGCGCCTTAGTTTCTTTATCTGACAGGTCTCTGGCGTCAGGGGTAAAGCCCTTCAGTACAGATCTAAAGAAAGGTGTGTAACAAAGAGGAAGCTGAGTCAGAAGGTGAGGAGTCCTGTGTTTTTGGAGGGCACGGATCACTATCACTGGTGGTTATGCTTGTAACTGAATACAAAAGCTTATCCTGTGGTGGTGATCCGTACCACAAAGACAGAATTCTCTCATCAATCTACTTTGTTATGAAGAAGCTATTAATGCAGTATGTATCAGGTATGTTCTTCAGGCACATCACAAGCAAAGTTACGTTTTTGTGCCTACTTTTACTGCCCCTCCTGAACCCAGCAAACAACTGGGTACTGCACAAAAATGGCAGTCAGGAATTGCACTGTGCTAGGGTGTCTTTATGCATACTAAAACAGAAATATGGTCTCTAATCTAAGGGCATCCTATCTGGGGAGGATTTAGCTTTACTTACTTTAACTCATCTTCCTCAATGAAGCCGCTTCTATCTTTGTCAAGAACGTGGAAAGCCTTCTTCACATCATCCTGGCTCTTCTTTTTCAAACCCACCATCTCAAAGAACTTCTTGTGGTTGAAGGACTCAGCAGCTAAAGGACCAGAATTGTTAGAGGACTTGTTAGTCTAGTTGCTGAGCAAATGGGTATCTATGTACTTGACTTTCTCACTGCACAGTGTCCAAGTTGCGAGTCGTATCCCAAGATGCCGCAGCTGATGTCTGAGTCCTGTTTTGCTGGGTACTGAACCTAACTAGAGTCCTTGCCCCAAAGACACTGCAGTCTAAGGTGAAAAGAGAAGGGACTGAGCTATAAAAGGATGAAGTGACTTGCCCAAGGTCACAGAGGGAGTCTGTGACGGGACTGGAAATGGAATCTAGATCTTCTCGGTCTCATTCTAGTGTCTTAACTGCATGACCTCTTGCTGAGAATAAGGATATCGTCTGTTGTTGAAAACAGCCCTCTGAACCAGAAAGGTGAATTTGGGGTAGACGACCTAACCTTTAAAAAAAAAAAAAAGTCTTGGACTGCATTTTCTGCTCAACTGCAGAGGCTACCAATGATGAGAACTCCTTGGAGAAAATGGATACAACTCCCTTTTCTCAAAAGCCCCATAAAAAATAGGAGTATTGCATTTGCACATTGCTTTAGCAACTCAAAAGTGTTGCGTGTGCTAGGCAGGGCTGCTGCGCTGTAAGACCTTGGGAGGCACAAACCTTACACAAAAATGGTATCTAGTGCTGAAATGAGAGATACAGAGATGAGCTTTTCTCTAGTCTACTTCTCCCTTCCTGCACCAGCACCTCCTCCAACTCCCACCCATGCAAGGTTACTCATAACAGTGGTATCTAATGCAGTGACCTCCAAGAAGTGTGATGGACTTGCAATGCAGCCTTACTTCTTCTGCAGCAGCCTCTCTGAGCTAGCAGAAAAAATAAGGTGGTTCAGCCTCCAGGCAGCTGCTTAGCAGGGAGAGATTTGCAACCCCCTTGGCTGCTGCTGCTCTCTTGCCCCGGGAGTGTTGGATGGGAGCAGGACAAGGCAAGCTGAAGAGGGAGGACCTGCCTGGGAGCAGAGCTCAGTCTGCTAGTCCGCTGCTCCTTGTGCCCGGAGATGGGAGTTTCTTGGGGCTTGGCTGGCTTTCTGATCTTAGGGCATCCTATCTGGGGAGGAAGGGGCTTCTTCCCCCATCTCCTTTTAAGGGGCAAGGTCACTTGGGGCCAGTTGAGTGGGGGCTGCTGTAGTTCATCTGGGAGCACAGAGCTTGGCTTGAGTGCAGCAGCCAGCAGCACAGGAGGGGTATCCTGCAGCCCATGCTGACTAAGAGAAACGGGGAATCTGACACCCGGGAGAGGCTGCTGGTTCAGGAGGGAGGCTGCAGCCAGCACCTTTCCCCAGGGCACTTCTGCAGCCGGGAAGGGGGAGGCGTCCTCCTGGGTCCTCCCTGCACTGCAAGCAGAAGCCCTGGCGGGGAGCTGGGGGCTTCTCCCCCAGCTCTGGCGGGTCCCTTCTGCTTGGGGATGAATGTGGGTGTTGTCTGTCGCCTCTCCCTATGCCCGAAGAAGGGGGGTTGTGCCCCAAAGCTTGCAGAGAGCCCTTCCCCCCCCCCCCAAGAGATCGCTTCGCCCCAGAGAGCCTCGCCCGAGAAGGGAGGACTGAATGGGGCATTTCCCTCTCCAGGGGAAGTTTGCAGCGGCTGCTTCCTAGCACGCTCCTTCATGCACCTCTCCCCCCTTGGCTGCCTCGTCCAGCCGCATCCTGTCCAGCCCGCGGAACAAGCCCCCTCCCCGGGGAGGGCAGGGGCCCGCCGCGCACTCACCCGCAAAGGCTCCCACCGCCTTCTTGATATCGTCCGCGCTGAGCAAGTCGGTCATCGCCATCCTGCAACTGTTTGAGCGGGGAGGCAAGTGCGAGGAAAAAAAAAAAGATTCAAAAGTGCTTTTCTCATCATTTGCTCATATGACCCGGGCTGCGGGGACGGGCTGGCCCCGCGCCAGCTCTAGCTCTGTGTGCACAAGTGCCCGGGCTGGCACCAAACAGTTTGCACCCCCCCCGCCCCCCCCGCCCATCCATGCGCCGCAGGAGCCGGCGGGCTGCTAAAGATAGGGCTCGGGGAGGGGGCTGGAGGCACGGCGGGGCACAGCCCGGGGCTGGGAGGATCTAGGCTGCGAGAGGAGCCGTGTCAAGGTCAGGCGGGCGGGCGGCGTGGTGCAGAGCAGACCCGCTTCCCAGGCAAGGATCTGCAGCATCCTCCCCGCTGCCGGGGGAGGTGGGTCTGGGAATGGGTCTCCCCTTGCCCCCCAGCCTCTACGCCCTGCTTCTGCCCCCCGCCCCCATCTCTTCTTAGCCCCCCTCTCCGAGCGAGCCTTGCCGTGCTGCAGAGCGCCGAGCCAGGCTGGAGGGGGACCCCCTCCCCCCGTGCGTGTCACCCATTGTCTTGTCACAAAGTGCTGTGCTGGGGGCTGCCGCCCAGCCACTCGCCCCCGCGGCTGGCATTTACCAGCCTGGGTTCAGCAGAAGAATGGGCATTTACTGGGCCAGAGCCCAGCAGCGTCCCCAGGCACACAGGGGCAGAGAGCGGGTGCCGAATGGGGCAAGAGCACTGGGTAGGGCCAGGGTTTCCCCCACCCCGCCTTGTTGCCCTCTGGCTTGCAAGCTCCAGTGTTTCAGGTGGAGGGAGTTGGGATTCAAACGCTGTGCCCCTCACTCCGCTCCTGATGCCCCTTTCCTCCAAGAAATGGGCTGATCCCCCCCCTTTTTTTTTAAATGGAAGTTGGCTAAACTCTCAGCTTCCCCAGCAGCTGGCAGCAAGGAGCTCCATGCTGGCACGAGGAGCTGCGTGAACAAGGATGGCCGGATGGCTTCGTTGTATACCCCCTAGTTAGGATCCTAGCCAAGGAGGGCTGGAAGGGATGGGGGGGGGGCAGGGGGGCGTGTCACCTCTAGGCCATCTAACTGCCTGCTCAAAGCAGGGCCAGCCCCAGCTATCTCATCCCAGCCAAGGCTTTGGCTAGCCAAGGATGGAGCTCTTGCATTGAGAGAGAGGGAGAATGAAAAAGAAAGCCCTAGTGCCTTTCTCTTCCCCCTTGCACTTGCCCAGGAGGGAGAAGCCCCCACTTGTCTCCAGCGGCAGAGGGCCTGCTCGCACATGGGACCACCTGTTGCTCAGCTTCTCCCCCAGCAGCTCAGCAGAGCTTGACTCAGCCCTTAAGCCCTGTCGCGGCCTGCCCAGATACCCTGCTTGCAGGTGACTTGTGTTTCGGGCTCTGCCTCTCTCTGCTCACAGTGCAGCAGCCTCTTTGGAGGGCTGCTCCAGCAGGTAACTCAAGCCGGGGGGGTGGGGGGGTGGCAGGCTCTGGGAGGAAGCACACTGTGCTGGCAGGCTCCCCTCAGCTCCACTCGAGTCAGACAGCTGTCAGCGAAACAGGTGCCTGTGGCAGGGGGACCACAGCAGCTCCCCTCCCCATAGCCAGCACATCTCCCCTGCCTGGGCCTCAGCCTGCCTCAGACCCCCTCAGCCGTGACCCCTGCCTCAGACCACTCAACCCAGGGGGATAAATGCTGCCTAGGAAGCCTCAGAGCATGGTCGTGCCCTCCCTCTCCCACCCCGGGAGCGCAGCAGCCTTTGCTTCTGGCACATGAAGGCAGCTCTGGGGCTGGAAGGGCTTTGAGCTGGGGGCCAGCATGGATTCTTCCCCCTCCTTGCAGAGTCTTTCAGTCACCTCTGGCTAAGTGGCTCCCCCCTCTGTCCAGGCTGTAGTCAAAGGGGACTGGAAGGTGCCGCATGACACTTGTCCTTCCTCATCCTGCCTCCACAGGGCTGTGCCCTTTTTCTCTGTGCTCCCTGCCTGGTGCTGCCTACCCTTCTGCTGCAGCCATGCCAAGCCCCCGCTCCCCATCCCCTCCATCGCCTGCCCAGGCTGATTGCTCCACCAGGGAGAGACAAACAAATCTGCTGAACCCAAACTACCAGGGACAGTGCCACCCCCATGCCCAGGTGGGCCCCAGGCATCCCTTGCCCAGCCCACTGGAAGCTATGCTAGTGGGGGGAAGGGGGTGCTTGAGCCTCTCTTGCCACATGCTCTACTTTGGCTGCAAAGTTTTACTTTGGCATCTTTCAGCCAATGTTGTTCACTTTCCCTTTCCCTCTTGTGCCATTGTTTCCCTTTGTTTCCATCCCTCTTTGTCATTGTTTCCTCCTCCTTTCCCCTGCCTCTTTAGTTATCCTCCCCTTCCATGTAGTCCTTTCTTTCTCTCTCTCTCGCTCTCCTTCTCTCTCTCCTTTGGGCTCTTCCACTGCAGTCAGTCATCTGGGAGGCAGGGATCACTGCTTCTCCTCTCCCTTAGAGGGGCTGGAGCCTCTCCTCTCCCTCTGCTCAGTGGCAATTATCTGGAGAGATCTCGCAGCTGATTTTCCTTCAGGTGAAAATCCCATCAGTGGATCCATCCCAGCTGCGGGAGTGTCACCCTGTCTTGCTACTTACCTTTGGTGGCTGCCTGCGAAGTGCTGGAAAGGGCTGCTGGATGCTGAGGTGGTGTCAAAGGAAGGTGAAACCCAGGGTGGGAACCCCACTTATATAGGCTCCCAGCCCTTTCTATTTTGGGCAGGCGATTACCCCCTCCTCACTGGTGTCAGATACTCAGGGACAGCAGTGGCGGTATCACATGTACCTTTCCCTTAACTAATCGAGTAGCACTATTAATACTCCTTGGCACTTACCTTCCCCTCGCTGCGGAAACCTGTCACCTCGGCAGAGTGCCATTAGGCTTGCCACTTGATTGAGGAGGTTAGATCGCCAGGAAGGGGTATCGTTTTGATGTCTGGGGCAAAGGGATGCTTCAGGGAGTTGCTGATGGCCCCAATGGGACCAAGGGAGTGCCCAGCTACAGGGAAGTAAGGGGTGGGAAGGCAGGACCTTGCTTAAGGTGCATCGGATGATAGGAGGGGAGCAACAATTTCAAGCTGGAGAACTTACCTCTTACCTGACTTTTTGTCCCTTGGCAGATACCTCTTGACAGAGAGAAGAGTCCAAATCTGCAGCCTGCACCAGAGCCACAATTCAGTAGGAGCACTTCACCCTGATCTCTGCACCAAGGGGGATCCTGCCCCCAGGCAGTCCTAAGACAAAGTGAAAGATGCTCACCATCGACACAGGATGACCAGGAGGTGAAGCTGCTCTCTTGTGGGCAGCCACCAACCCTGCCTCTACTCTTTCCTGACAGATACTGTCATTACAGCTGCATCTAAGTGTTCAAGTCTGCATTGAGGATGGATGGTGCAGGGCTCTGTACCTATTCAAAGGTAGGGTCCCTTCCAGGCTATAAGATGATCTAGGACAGTCAACCCCCAAAGGGTAAGAAAAGGGGCATAATCACTATATGCGTACACATTAGACTCTAAACTCTGCAATGCAGGGACTGTTTCACTTTCTGGGTCAATCCAGTGCAATGAGGCCCTGTTTAGCACCTCTGGGAACTTCCATGACATCCTCTTCCTCCTCCTCCTCCTTATTATTTTATTATAGGAAACAATATTAAGTGCCATTAAGCCCCATCTGCCCTTCTGTGGTTTGGGAAGGCACTTTCCTTGCTATTTTCATTTTTCCTGGCATGGGAGCTGTTTTTATAGAGGGTTGCTAATTGCACTAATCTACAGGATATTTGCAGGGAGGGGAAGGCCTCTCTTTTCAGGACTTGGTAAGCAGCTGTTCTCAAATGCAGAAGCCACTAAGGCTGTTGTGAAGTGCTCAGGCATATCTGTAATACATCTGGAATTCTCTGGGGAGGATAGGATGCTAAAGGCTGCAAAAGTGGGGTTTGTTTTCCTAGTTTGACTGCTTGATCCTAGGTGTACACAGGCTAAATGGCAATGATTACTGTAGCAAAGCTTCCTATTTCATGCCTTTCTGGTGCTGAATTCTGTTGTAAACTAGAAATTATCCAGCAGCTTGAGGTATTTTCAAAGATGGGAGATTTATTGAATCAAATATGACAGTGATTAATTTAAGCAGTATAGAATTCCTTGGGTTATTTATTTTGTATTACATTTCTTGTGGAGGTCCTTGAATTTATGGCATATTACACATTTTGTTTGGAAAATAGTAAGCGTGAAGGTGATATTGCATTGTTGGGGCCCCCTGGAGCTCCTTGTTCTTCTCTCCAGCAACCAGCTGTCCCATTGCATTGGTTCTGAGTGGTTAAGGCTATGGACCTAAAGTTGTGGACCAATGTATCCTTTAAACTGTTTTAGGAGCGAACATCAGAAGTTATGATATAACTCTTACCTCTGCAGGATCACACAGGAATACACGTTAGCTGAACTGATTTCCTATCAGCCCTGAATGGTTTTATAGGATCTTAGGAATGTAGGGCTGGAAGGAACTTTATGGCTAAGTACAGACACTCAAAAAGCCCAAGCCTGAATTGACTCAGTCTTTGCAGGTTAGTCTAACCTGCGTAGATTGAATTGATTTGCAAATGAACAGACATTCACTTTTGATTCCAAAAATGCAGCCACGTGCCTGCAGTGGCTTAAGCTAGAAGCCAGGAAGTTTTAGAGTGAGTTCTGCCTTGCCTTCAGGCTGGAGGGAAGCTGAGCTGAGTGGGGGTTGACCAGGGCGCAGCAGGTTGAGTATGACTGGGGAAGGGTTTAAACCCCCACCCTGGCCTGCAGGGACCCCAGCTGGGGTCTTCCTGGCTTTTCCCTTCTGCTTGGGGCTCAGCAGAGCCCAGGACCCCCAGAACCCCCCTCCCAGCCAGGGGGCGATCCCACTGCACCTTCCCAGCTGCTGGGGCCCAGGTCTTGCTTGCGGCAGCCCAGGAGCAAAGGCCAGATTGGGGGGAGGCAGGAGAACGAAACAGCCCCACGCCCAGGTGGGGACATGCACAGAGGGATTGTGGCAGCAGGGTCTTCATCCTGGACATGAGCCCTGTCAAGCAGAGGGACCCAGGCTGGGGAGGTGGGGAAGGGGCTCAAGTGTGTCCATGCTAGCCCAGGGCAGAGTGGAGCTGAGTGGAACATGCATCTGGGGGAGCAGCTCCTGCTCGGCAGCCCCTTCTACCCTCTGGAGAGCAGTGTCTGGGCCAGGCCTAGGTCCAGCAGTGGTGTGCATGGTACAGGCTTGCCTCCTCAGCCCTGAGCACTATTACCTGCATCCCCCAGGTGGCTGGGTGCTGAGCTGGGCATGCACTGCTCACTTCCCCTTCCTGGCAGCAACAGTGAAGCACAGCCCTCTGTACCAAGCACCAGGTGGTACCTATCTGTATGGCAAGGGCAGGCCCTTGGATGGTGGCGGTGGTGGGGAAGCTGTTGGGGTAGTGCCCCTGTGCCTGGCATCTAGTATGTGGGCCTTGCTGCGCCGCTGCTGCTGGGTAGGGGAAGTTAACAGTGCATGCCCAGCTCGGCACTCGTGGGACACAGGTAATAGCTCATGGGGCTGATGGGGTGAGCCTGTGCCATGCACACTGCTGTGGGGGCTGGGCCTAGCCCTGGCACCTTTCTTCAGTGGGCAGAAGGGGCTGCTGAGCAGAGGCTGCTCCCTCAGCTGCATGCTCAGGTCGGCTCTGCCTCAGGCTAGCACAGATGCACTTGAGCTCCTTCCCTGCCCCACTCCCTGCCCCTGCTACCAACCTGGGTCCCTCTGCTTAGTGGTGCTCATGTCCAGGATGGAGCTGCCACTGCCGTGCTCCCTCTGTGCATTGTCCCCACCTGGGCTTGGGGCTGTTTCATTCCCTTCCCTCCCCAGTGATTTGGCCTTTGCTTCTGGGCTGCCCCAAGTAAGATCCAGGCCCTGGTGGCTGAGAAGGGGAAGTGGGATCGCCCACTGGCTGGGAGGGGGGTTCTGGGGGTCCCAAGTTGTGCTGAGCCCCAAGCAGGGGTGAGAAGCCAGGCAGACTCTGCCAGTGAGAGAGGGGAGGCGAGGGGGTTTAATTTTTCTCTGTCCCAAGCCCCTGCCCCCTGCACTTCAGTGGGGAAAAGTCTGGCAGGGGCTGCTCTGTCCCCTCCAGGCAGACAGGGCTGTGTCCCCAGCACACCCACCCCCTTGTCAGCCAGCGGTCACTGCTCCAGCTAGAGAACAGAGGGGCAGGGCCAACCCTGCTCTGCTGTAGCAGACAGCACAACGCAGCCCAGGCCTGCAAAGCATGCTGGGATGCTGGGAGACTGTGATTTAACTTGAATCAGGGAGGGGTTTGGGACAGAAGTTTCATATACTGGTTTGACCTAAATCAGTTAAGTCTGATACTACATTCAACCAGTTTATCTTAAACTAGTTTTGGCCATTTTTAACCTGATTTATGTGCACTGAACTTGTATTCTGTTACAGGTTTAAAGCAGTTTCTGATCACTTAAACCAGTTTAAGTGTAACTTCTGTCCCTAGCATATGAGGTCATCTTCTAATTCAACCCCCTGCTCAAAGCAGGATCATAGCTGACTAAACTATCCCAACCAAGTGCCTGTCTAACCCGCTCTTGACAATTTCCAGGGATGGAGATTCCACAACTTTTCAAGGTAGCCTGTTTCAGTGCTTGACCACCCTTGGTCACTTGTATTTCTACGTAAGGCTGCACAGATAACAATTACTTTGTAATGGCTTATTTTGCTATCATTTGATATCAGTACAATTGGTATATCTGTCCTCACTGTAGTTATATTTTGAGCCATCTGATGTTTCTGGGCTTAAGTTTCATAGTTTCATAGTTTCTAGGGTTGGAAGGGACCTGAGAAGATCATCTAGTCCGACCCCCTGCCATGGCAGGAAAGAGTACTGGGGTCAAACGACCCCAGCAAGGTGTTCATCTAACCTCTTCTTAAAAACCCGCAGGGTAGGAGCCTGCACCACCTCCCTTGGAAGTTGGTTCCAGACCCTAGCCGCCCTAACCGTGAAATAGCGCCTTCTGATGTATAACCTAAACCTAACCTCTGCTAGCTTGTGACCGTTGTTCCTGGTCACTCCTGGTGGTGCTCGGGGGAACAGTGACTCCCCCAATGCCTTCTGATCCCCCCTGACCAGTTTGTAACAGGCCACAAGATCCCCCCTCAGCCTTCTCTTGTGGAGGCTGAACAGGTTCAGGTCCCGTAGTCTCTCCTCATAGGGCCTGCCCTGCAGTCCCCTGATCATGCGCGTGGCCCTCCTCTGGACCCTCTCTATGCTGTCCACATCCCTCTTGAAGTGTGGTGCCCAGACCTGGACGCAGTACTCCAACTGCGGCCTGACCAGTGCCGCATAAAGAGGGAGGATCACCTCTCTGGACCTGGTGTTTCCCTTGGTGAGATAACTGACCATTGAAACAGCATGTCTCCATAATGTGCCTTCCACTGAAACATACAACTTGGAGTTTGCTTTGCACTATAACAGATTGCTATACTTTTTGACAGAGGATCAAGAGCAGAGGCTGGTTTAGGGAGGTCATCTTGTTCTTGGCTGTTTGCAGAGGCTCTATGCCACTGCTATTTGGATGCTGTCTGGGTAGCCTTTCCCTCTCATCTTCTTCCTCTGATGGTTTTCAAGGATCAAGGTTTGGATACCTCTTTTTTTTGGCTGTGGGGCTGTGGTTTACCACTTAT